ATCGTGGTATAGCACGTTAACATTGGGCAACACGCGTCTGCCTCGTTGAGTCTATCCGTCAACTCGTGTTCAAATCTCTCACCGATAGTTGCATCTAATCTGTCGCATGGGTATTCTAATCGGGGACCTTTGGTCCTTAGATCCTACTTTCCAACAGGATATTTACCATGTTGATTCCGCATGGAAGGCCCGGTCCGGAGACAATGTTATCATGTGTCCTTCGAAGCGCCCTTCTAAGCGCCCTAGACGAACAAGGATACTTCCTACATCCGTGTACAATTTTCGAATACCCTCTCTTTGAACCTTCAAGAGGGAATGGACCAAGCTAGCCAGAAAAACAGGCCTGCTGGCTTGATAGCGTGGGTTACATCCTTTCACGCGTTGTCGAAATTGAGCAAAGGTTTCGATATAGGGTGATGGGAGCGACTGGGACCGGGAAGTCGTCGGTATGAATGAACCTTGATTCGTTATCGCAACGGCCTGATGTTATACAAGTTCATCAATGCTATCACTGGCCAAAATACCTCTGACATTGGACATGGCTTGGATTCTCAAACTAGTACGATCAACGAATACGACTTCCAGCTCCCCAATGGTTTAGTTGTGACCCTTGCGGACACACCGGGATTCAATGATTATACTAGCGACGGTGGGGGGAAGTCTGATCTTGTCATTTTGAAGGAAATCGGTGAATTCCTGAAAAAGAAGTGATTACATCCCCCCTTATTAAATTTGTGGTGACAATTTAATATCTCTTCCGGCAGATATGACGAAAAACGCAAATTCTCTGGCATCTTGTATTTGCACAATATCTGCGAACCGAAGATCGGAAGTTCTTTGCAACGTCAAATGGCTATGTTCAAGAAGCTTTGTGGAGATGATCCTCTGAAAAACGTCGTTGTCGTCACCACTTTCTGGGATGGGACCGAGTCGCTGGAAGGAGGAATACAGACTGAAACAGAACTCAAAACAAAGGACAAGTTTTTCAAGGGACTGGTGGAAGGGGGATCCAAGTTTATTCGTCACGGATTATATTCTCAAGACGAACAACCTGAGGACCCAGAGTTTCAACAACCGCTCTCTATTGTCATCGACCTTCTTTCACTTGACCCCGTTTTTGTTGAGATGCAGAAGGAGCTTGCTCAGGGAAAGGCGGTAGAAGAGACTTCTGCTGCTGCGGAGCTTTACAGAGAACTTCAGGAGCTTAAACGCCAGCACAAAAGGGACGTGTCCGAGCTGAATACGAAGATAGAGGACATTAAACTCGCGAATGCGAGGGACAGAGAGTTGAGGGAGACATTGGAGGAGAAACAACGTAATCTGACAGCGGAAATGGCGCAAAACAACTCAGACTTACGGAATGCCATGGTTACGTGGAAGAAACAGATAGAGACAGATGCCAAGGTGGTTTATGTGATATCTGGTCTCCAAGATCGATATTCACTCTTCTACAGCGACATTCTCTCGAGCTGGAAGCTATTCGTCGTAACGAATTCAAAGGGGATTTGGATCTGCTGAAAATTATGCACGAAAAGGAGATCATGGAGTGTCGATTTCAAATCAGAAGTTTAATGGACGGCGATTCCACAGCAGACTACAGGAGGGATCACCTTGAGAAAACAACGGAAGACCTCAAGGCAGTAGTCTGCAGTCTGTCTCTGGCGCTGGAAAAGTCGAGGGAGACACACGAAAAAGAGGTAGTGGAACGATTGCAATTTATGGGGGAATTTAAAAAGCTCCGCGCCAGCGCAGAACGATGGGCCGATGAAGAGAAACGACTTTCACGAGGATGGGAGGAGGCCCGATCTGCTCTTGAACGAGTAAAATCAGAGCTCACATGTGCACTTTCAAAGCATGAACAAGTAACGGCGGAGTTGAAAGATAGCCAAAAGACTGTCGTCATGGTTAATTCGCAGCTCAAGGATGTTCACGCGACGAAAGAAAAGCTATTGGAGGACCTCGAAGAGGCTCGATCGAAGGTGACGCAGCTCAACAAGGAGTTAGCTGCCTCTCGAAAATCACAGGAGGGGCTGGCATCGAAACTGTCAGGCCAGTCTCATGTCGACGTGGAGTTGGAAAATGTCACGTCCGAGTTGGCTTCTTGCAAACGGCAAAATGTACAAATGGAATCTCAGCTTAGCAAGACGAAGTCTGAGTTGGCCGCGGCTTCTTCGAATTCCTCACTGCTTCAAAAAGCAGAGTCCGACTTGGCTCTTGCCAAAGCGGACCTACTGGTAGCCCGAAAGCAGTTGTCACAAGGAAAGCATATTCTGCCGCTCTTGGACGCATCGCCCAACCTCAAGCTACCTGTCAATTCTGTTCCGCTTTCCTTCCCAATCCAACCGTATCGGTTTATCAAAAATGTCGTGGTACGTATGGCCAGTGATTCCCAGGTGGGGATTTTTACCTACGTTTCGTAGGTCAAGTCATTTACCGGCACGGCTCTGGAAGACGGCTATGTAACTGAGATGGGCGGCCATTCTGCGAATATCAACAACGGCTTTGGGGGCGAGTAAGCATTGAAGTTCCCGCTTGCCGTGTTTAGATTGATCCTTTGCAGAGCTGTTTACCTCTACCCTCGATACACGTTTGACAACAGGGAAGCTATTTCCAAGTTCTCCCTGCGCCTTCAGGACGAAAGTGATAAGTCAAAGACCGACTTGGCAAAGGGTTGTCCTAAACCCTTTCGTTATCTCGATAGCGACCGCAATCCGAACTTTGCGAACATTACCGCTATCTCTTTACTCCGCAGCAGTTCGTCCCAGAGCGTGCCAGAAGGGTGGGATGGGATGTTTGATTTGAACAAAAGTCGTGGGTCAGAGTTCTTGTATCTTGTTTGGAGGAGGATGCCAACATCCGTCACGACCATTCTACCACATCGATTTGTCAAAGATATTGTGGTATGCCATTTAATCTGTCTACTGATTATCTTTACTTCATTGGGTTGCTTTATAGGTTGAATTCTTTTCCACCAAGGAGGCGGTGAAACCTGGGTATCTTGAAGAGAAAAGCAATCTTTCTTCGGACATCAACGAGGGGTTCGGTGGCGACTAGTAGGTTCAAATAATTTGGATGATTTCGAAACTGCTGAAGCTAATTCTTGACAGCCGCGTCTATCTCTACCCTAAGTATACTTTGCTTTACGACGAAGCCATTTCCGGACTCTCCCTGATTCTCAAAGACAATCGGGATTCGTCTAAGACTGACTTAGCCATCGGTGCTCCCGGAAAATTCCGTTACCTCGACATTGAACGTGACTCCGATATCGATGCCACGAAGATATGCAATGTAATGTTATTACGCAGTAAACAGCGTGCAGGCTTACCCGAGGGGTGGGATGGTATGTTCGATCTAAATAGGTCTCGCGGGACTGAGTTTTTGTATTTGGTCTGGAAGGAATCGCCATAGATGCCCAGCACAGTTGATGTAAAGAAACCAGATGGAATACCCTTTTTTTTTCAGACCTGGTTGTGATAAAGTGTTTGCTCGAGTCACCTTTGTCATAACATCCATGCACAGAAACTCGTCAAGATAGTGTTCTAGGATATCTTCTGTATATTTACACAACGGGAGGCCACGTAAGTATCCTCTGCTGGAGGTACAATCTTTGCGACGTTGTCCAGGTGCTCAAATCGTGACTTCTTCTTACTCGCCCTCTCGAAATCACCCTCCCTTCGCCACGAGCCCAAGGAGCGCCCATCTCCCAGTTCTTCCCACCCCCAATCGGCGACACCTCGTTCGCAGCATGTTCATCATGGAAATCTCCACTCCCGCCTGTAGCAAACTGGCTCTTCTCGTGCCCCGTCCAGTCTCTCTTACCTTGACCGCCCATTAAGTACTGACATCGGCAGTTAGGGAGAGGGGCACAAAATACGGATTTGAACACGAGTACGAACAGAGGGGATGAGGAAGGGAAGATCAAGCAACATATGCGAACGTGTCCCTGGAACCATCGACTCGTTCAATGTATTCCTTCTCCAAGAGGATTTCGATCGCTTTCTTGATGTCAGGAATCTTTGGCGCAAAGCGTTGAGAGATCTGAGAGATGACTTCCTGGATCAAAGCCTGACTTTTGATGGTTTTCCTTGCCTTCATTATTCTACACGACAGAGCTCTATGAGATTTCCACTAGAAGTAGATGACAATAAGTTGACGTACCGAACGATCGTAGCTTGAATGACATATTTTCTGTGCTCATTAACAGCCTTCAAAACATCCGAAGATTCGGTCTTGACTTCGGCTTTGATTGGCTGAATCAGGTTGACACGGATCTTCTTCGACTTGAAGTCTGTTGACGAAGTAACAATTAAGCCACGAAGTTTCAAGAGAAGCGCGGGGAGCATACTGTGATTAAGATCGTACTGGTCCTTCTCCTCGTTGATCAACATCTTCACCTTAACCAACACAACCAGAACCTGGGTCAAGATGTCCTTCGTAATCGAAGTAGCAGTGACCAGCTCATCCAACGAAAGCGTATCGGCCCAGTTGTACTGCAATAGTACCGCCATCTGGTATGAGCTCGTCATCAGGATGTACTTTTGGTTCGTATAGTTCGTGCGCAGCTCATTCTTGGAGTAGTTCCATAACCAGGTGAGTTTACGGCCAGAGTGCTTCGTCTGGTAGTACTTCTGGAATCGGTCGTAGGTGGGTACGATCTCGGTGGGGATGACGAAATCGTGTGGTGGTGGATAGAGTGGCCATAGATTGGTTCCTAAGACCATGATGCTGAAGGTGATGACCATGTCACCGTGGTTTTGCGACATGCAATCCTTGAATGAGTCCGTAAGATCCTTGCTCAAACTCATGTCTGAAGCCCATGTCAAAACAAAAATTTGAGAGAATGTGGAGAATTTACCCGTAAACATGCGTTGGAGCTTGTCGGTGTACTCGAAACCGCAAGCCTCTTTGAGCTTCGAAATCATGTTGGCCTCGCTCTCGTCGGACGCAGAGACACCATGGATCAACCGTTTTGAAAGCTTGGTGGTATAGAATGTCTGGAACACATCCTTGTCTTCCAGATATTGAAACAGAATCATCTGGAGAAACCCCACGTTGAGCCCGCTGATCAAGACGTGACGACAATATAAGCGTACGACATGGTTCAAAGCACCCTCTAGGTCGTCTTCCTCTGCCATCTTGTTGTTCTTTCTCAAAAGCATGTCCAAGTACTTGGCAATAAGCTCTGGCGACTTGGTCGATGAGCCACCAGTAGCAGCGTTCCGATTGACAAATTCTTGGCAGGCTTTGTCCAAACTTGCAGCGAGTCCTGCCTCGCCCTTAAAACTTATGTTTACAGTCTCCGAATTCTTGTGGTAAACCTCGAGGAGCGCAGCCACATATGCTTTGGGGTCGACTTCTGCGTTCGCAGCAGCGGCGCCGGCCTGGCTAACCACATTCTCGATAGCGGAGAGACCAGATAGTTTGACGCGAGCTTTGAACTTTTTCCGGAGAAGTTCCAAACCTTCTTGAAACCTTGAAACAAGCGTATACATATGTTGCACATCTTCATCCTTATCGGAGTCGAGCAACGGTTGGAAGCTTTTCCATATCAGATCGGAGTGCTCGCGAATCAGGACCGCTTCACATTTGCTGACAAGCTCTTTTCGCGTCTTGCTGTGTAGATAACGCTCAACAAGATTCTCCTCCTCTCGCAGCCAATCTTCGGCTTTCTTGAGGTAGTCCAACACCGAATTTTCAGCTAGAAAGGCCTCTGATTCCTTCTTGTAATACTGCTCCGTGGCAGCGATGAATGCCGTTTCGAACTGGTCCTTATATATATTGAGGCATTCCTTACTAGGATCGGCGTTATCAAGGCCAAGTGATATGAATGAATCCACAACCCGCTTGATCAGACCCTGATCATCTACGACCTCGCCAGTCCTTTGCCGTGTGATTTGACGAAGTACAGCACCGGCCAGTTTCGCGTTGTCATTTTGTATGTGCATGAAGAAATGGGTTTTCCATTGTGACAGGGCAAGCTGCGATGTTATTAGGATGCTGTATGGTTTTCGGAAAAGTGACGGTCACCGTGTACACCTGATAAACCTTCCTTCCCTCGTCTTGCTGGCGCTTCACCCAGTGTCGATTGAGAAATGCGAATAAACGGTTGACATAGTTAGCCCCTCTAGTATAAGTGTCCCATTCGGTGGCGTAGTACCGCAGGAGGTCGACCTCTTGCAGAGTTTCGGTTTTCTGGATCACGCGTTTTCAGCCAATCC